AGTGGCAGCAGATGTGATAACTCATTAATTTTCCTTTCAAGGATAGAGGCTGTGCACTGGATTCACCAGGAAAAAGGGAGACAAAAGGCAGCTGGAGGCGGGCAGGAATAAATGGGAGGTAGAAGATATATATATAGACTGAAAAGAGTCTATGTGTCGGGATTAATGAGGTACAAATCATGCAGGAAACAGCGCTGGAGGAAAGACGGGAACGCATTTACCAAACAGGTTTGTCAGAACTCCGGAATAACCACGGGGGAGTGACAAAGGGAGCTGGGAATGGCTGGGAAGCACAACGGGCCTCAGGCCCAGACCCAGAGCAGGAGCAGATTCTTCTCTGACTGTGCCGACACAAGAATATTTCCCTCCATGGGTCCGTATGTGGAGACACACACATCGGATGTTACCTGGGTGTATGTGACACGAGCATCTCGTGCTCCTGCTCTCCACGGGGGTGTCCGCAGCCGACCTTGGGCGTTCCCGGCCATGTGTTTGAACACCTTATTACAGCTACCAGTGCATGCAAGTTAAAACCAGAATAAAAACAGAATAAATACCTTTGATCATGGGAACTTTATCCACCCCTGCGAGAAGCCAACGAAGACAGGAGCCCCCCCTTTACAGGTAAAAGCTTACCTTTAGCGCGCCTGGGGTGGGGTCCTGGCCTTCGATGGATTTCACAGCCGAGGGATAGAAGTCCCATCTGGGTCGCCAAATTGATGCCCAAAAAAAAGCAGATAAAAAACTGTTTAGACAGAGTTTTATGCCTAGAACAGCAAGGTATTTATTTATTGATGGCTGAGCAGCCTGCCAGCTAGTGCTGGGAAAACAGGCTCCGAGTTGGTTAGGTTAGAATGAGTATTTTATACAGGTTTGGCAATGATTACAACATAATCGCATACATATTCATATTAGTGCATCATTAGATTACAATATTCATAACAGGTGGAGTTAGGGGCGGAGACTGAGGCATGGTTTCCATTTTGAGGAATATTTTGGTGGGAGTTCCTGTTTGCCTTCATCCTGGGGTCTCAAATTCTCTCCTCTTCATCAGGTGACCCTGGTGACCTTGCGTTCTTTCTATTGTTCCTGTGTTCTGATCACTCAGCCTTAGAGAAACCCCTGGCTTTGGGCCTATATTACCTATTGAGATGTCACCTTGGCTCCTCTGGATGAGATTTCTGGGACTGGGGTTCTTTGCACAATGTACCTGTGGCTTATGTCTACAGAATTTGTACAGAACAAGATCTCCTTTGAGCAAGGTAGAGAAATGGG